AGCTCTGCGAGCATAGGAGAAGAAGATAACATTCCAAGAATCTGGGTCATTGACGGTGCAAACGCCTGGTCCTGCAAGTGGAGGCGAAGATGCGTCAATTTGGTAAATAAGGACGAGTCCCAAGAAACGACGAAATTGGAGAGGGAGAGATGTCGGAGGTGGGGGGTATTTAGCTGGAACACTGGGCCGGGATAAGGAGCAATTTTGGGCATATCGGGCCAGGGGATGAATAAGGATAAGGTTCGTAGAGAAGCTGCATCCAGGTCCGTCCAAACTTGGTCCAGAATTTCTGGCGAAGCCTGAAGGTCAAGCGCACGAATCGTGGCGTCTTTTAGCGCCAAGCGAAGGTTTCGCAAGCCGCGGGTGGACCGCGCGGCCATGGGGAAATGCGCCTGCACGACGACAGGCATATTTGCGGCGCGGTGAAGCTGCGCGCTGACCCACTCTGGATGGTCGTGTTCGTAATCCGCTTGGATCCAAAGTTCGCTGTAGCCCAGCGCTACATGGCGCCAGAGGTGGCAGACGTGGGAGATGGCTTTCAAGGTGGTTGAACGGGCGTTTGACGTTAGACAGGCGGTTTGGAATATCTCGGAAAGCAGTTCATTTGGCAAGGAAAAAGGAAGAGAAGGCGGGTCGATTCCATGAGAGAGCATGAGAGTTGCCGTGACGGCGTGAGTCACAAGGACGCGGCAGCTTTGCGGCAGCTTATGTCCTTTGCACTCGCCTTCGCCTTGACTTTGTCCTTCATCGCGCATGTCTAACAGGACAACGTTGCCCGGAAACCCAGCCCCCGCAGGTGGCACCGGTAGCACCAGCTCACGGCGCGATACTAACCAGTCGGCGTCGTCGACCCACTCTGCTTCAAGTCGGAGCGAGCGCGGAGGTTCAAGGAGTGCTGCTCATGTGCGTTGCAATACACATCCCCCCAATGGACCTGCCTGACTTGTCCGCTCTCATTTTTCCAGCCTGCGGTCGAGTCCGCGGTGACCCGGCTGCTGGTGGCTATCAAGCAACTGCTCGAGGCGCTCACACAATGGAGCCTATTGAAGATTGACGAGAATAATGTCAGCGACGTGTATGTCCGCCTGGGCAACGACTTCAATGCTGCGGTTGCCGCCTTTGCGGCCTTCAACATCGATATGGCGTATGTGCTCATATTCCATTCCTCACTTGTTATCATTATTGACGAGGACTCGTTGAAGGGAGCTAATGACCGTGCCCGACGACCTACGAAATGTCCTCGAGCAATGTCTCGCAGAGGACGCTACTCCCGATAACCTCGAACTTTACCTCCCAACCGTGCGGCAGATAATAACAAATTTGCTGCAAGGTCTACGCGGGAAGCAGTCCATCTACCGCCGCATAGTCTCTGACTATCGGCATCGGTCTGAGCAATCTGGGTCCGAAAAGACAGAGAACCGCACTTCGCGTTCGCGTCGGGAGGGCTCTCACCGATCCCAGCTCTCTCGGACGACATTCAGTGATAATGACACTCCTCCTACGCCCAACTCCGTCCTGCGCGATAGGGACAGCGCATCCTCTCGCAAGAGTACGCAGCAATCGTCGAGTCGAAGAAGGGACCCCAGTTCACCGTCGCTCAATGGGTCTTCACTGAACGACGGCTCGACCAACGGAGATTCATTTGTCGGAGGATTCGCACCCACCATCACGGAGCCGCCTGTGGATCCTCAAGGGGAATACTTTCCCCAATCTGATTCGCTCTCTCGGAAAGCGCGGACGGTTCCGCCTCCCATTGATCCCCCTCCCGCCGATTCCTTCCAATACCCTACCAACTCCCCGAACGAACAAACAGCGATGCCTCTGGCCGCGCCAAACGTCCCGGCGAGTGTAAAGCGATACTCATTGGTGGACAGACCCCTCGCCACTCCTTCCGTCGTCGTGGAACCGTCAAGTCCAGATCCCGACCGTCCGGATTCTGACCAGCCGGATTCTGACCGTGCCAGCGGCTCGACGTCACCCCCTCCCCCAGAAACACCGCCCATAGACGTCCTTCAGGCGCCTGCGATGGCAAACTCCCTGGCTGCTCTCAAAAAGAGTGATACTCTCGAACGCAGAGCGTCGAAGCGATTCTCCACCTATAACATATCGAAAATGACCGGTGCTCCAACGATGCGGGAGAGATCCACGCGGACCGGACTAGGGGCTCCGAATAGGCGCTCGTTGGCTGCCTCATCGGCGCCAACGCTGGGAGACCTTGCCGTGCTCACTGAGGTGGACGACGAGGAGCCCGCTGCCCCGCTTCTCCGAAGGGGTAGTTCGAGGTCTCGTTCAAGTCCTAGTACACCTGAACGACGTCAACCTGAAACGCCTCCGATACCTCCACTACCTGCCACTCCAGCCCGAACACCCGACCCAGTTATCCCCACACCTACGGCCCCTTCTGAATCAGTCGCCGTTGCTCTTCCTCCGGCCCAGCCGGCGCGCCCTTCACGATTCATTGTTTTCTTACAACTTGGGAGAGAAGTGAAAAAAGTGACAATCGACCACGGTTTATCGTTCCCGTCGCTTCGAGTATTATTTGTCGACAAGTTCTCGTATAATCCGGGTCTCGAGAACTTTCCGGCCATTTATATTCGTGATCCGTCAAGCGGAGTGCAGTACGAGCTGGAGGACATGGAAGAGGTCAAAGAAAAGTGTTTACTTTCCCTCAATATTGAGCGTGCGTTCTTCCAAAAGCTCACGTTGACCCCTCTGACTGTTCTTTTTATCTAGCACTTGACCAGATCAAACAGCACATCGACGCTCAAATCTCGAATCTGTCGCAGGACATCAAGGACCTCAAAACGGCAGTTCATACCAATAACAGGCAGTCTATGCATGCGCCCCCCAGCATTGTCGGCCCCCCGTTGGCCGAAAGTACTCCTGCACCGAACAGGCCGACCGATCGCCAATTCCAAACTGTTGCGCGCCGACTTTCACGGTTTGTCGGAGATTCCTCCGGCCTGTCGTCCTTCAGCGCACCTACTCCCATGCAACCCCAGATGACCGGCCAGTCTCTCCAGCCCCAAATGACTGGTGGCTCGATGCTATCCGATTATTCCTCGCGGGTCGTTACTGATCTCAAAACTCAATTCGACGAGGTTCAGAACCTCCGACGAGACTTGGGGATCATGCGCCAGCTGTATACGGAGTTTATGAAGTCTACCAAGGAATCGCTGGGTACGCTTCGCGGCCAGACGCAGTCCGTCAAGCAGCTTGCGAGCACCAGCGTCGGTGGTGCTCGAGGATACATCGACACGGGCAAGAAGAAGCTCGATACGCGCAGCCAGAACGTGCTGACGGAGGTAGAGAAGCTCCAAGACACCGTCGAGGGCGTCAAGGACGACGTTATCAAGCGCCATATTACCCCCAAAGCGCAGTACTTCCGAAACATCAAGAAGGATATCGACACTGTTGCGGCGGAGATGGCGAGCTTGAAGGAGCACATCAACACGATCAAGCCGATGTGGAAGAAGACCTGGGAGGAAGAATTGCAGAACATTGTCGACGAGCAGGGATTCCTCACCCACCAGGAGCAGTTCCTCGAGGATTTACTCGAGGACCACAAGGCGCTGGTGGAGGTGTACGGGCACGTGGAGAAGATCATCAGCATCCGTGGTCCAGGGTCCGTCGGCAGTCGCGGTGGGAAAAGAGGTTTCCGCCCTCCGCCTCCTCCAGAGGAGGGCCATGGCGGGTTGAGCAATGTGATGCTCGAGATACGAGGAGCTTCTGTGGACCCAGAAAGGCGGATGAAGGCCATAGAAGCGAGCCAGAAGAGTCGAGAGAAGGAGCTCGCCAGCAGGTCGGACGAGATGCAGGCCGAGTTGAGCGACTTTGTTGCGGGAAAGAAGCTCAAGATGACTGGCGGGGCGGAGGAGGCCGAGCGTGTAAGGCAGAAGAGAAGCGACATGACTTTGAAGGCCATGTTCAATGGCGGGGTGACAGATATGGGACCGGACTCTCCAGGCTGAACCGTCTCCGTCCTCGTTCAATTTCTTTCTGTTATGTTTTTTTTCACCACATCGTACAATTTTCACTGCATATTTATCTTTACTCCGCCCATTGTTTCGTAGGCGTTTCCGCTGATAATATCCCCTGGGTGTATCTTCTGTACTACCATGCTTTGGAAACTTGTCTTCAACGCGGGGATGGCGATGATCGAGTGATATCGAACAACTGCAATTCTGTCAGAGGGACCCACCGACTCGGGAACGACTACAACCTTTGGAAATTACTGTTCTAATTCAGGTTCATGTCCAAAATCGATATCCTCAGGGGGCGTGGACGCCAAGCCGCGCAGCCGCCGCATAGATCGAAAGGACCTGAGAGTTTTGGTACCGGCTACCAGGCGAGCAGGCCAACGAGCGGGGGTCCTGTTATCGATGAGCAATTATGTCCGGAGCCGAAACCTGTCTCCCTACGATGTGGACTTGTCCCGAATAGGTTGCGGAATTTCACCGGGGAGTCGTACATGTCGGGGGGTGAAGATGAGGTACGATAAACTGAACGGCAAATGCATGGATCGGAGATGAAGAGCTAGTGAGGCCCGCAACACCGCTACATTTTTATCTGCCTCGGATCCCACGATGAAGGCCACGAGTAGACAAAGAAAGAGTATAAAGACAAAGTGAAGCGTAATAGCTTCCGCTTTCGGACAATGAACGCCCTTTCCCCAATTGGGATAGAGATTGATCCCGAATTTTCGGCATCTTCGTGGCCAGTCAACGCTTTCACAAAATTACTATTCTTTGCGAGAAGAATGGTGCATATAATTACTGGCTTGAGCCTGGTTTCATTTATTCTGGTGTAGGCCGGCAGAGGCATGTTCTAGAAGTGAAAAGGCTCATCAAATATACGAGTGTCCGGAAATTAATTATTGCTCGATTTTTGCTTCCTTCACGGGACTTTCGGGAGGTAAAAAGAGGGTAGAAGGGTCCTTCAGATTCTCAGAATATCTACGAAGATTCCGTGAAGCCATATGGGAAGAAAAGTAAAATTTATACACCAAAGGGGAGTCGAACCCCTGCCGCTTGCTCACTAATCGTGTAGCAGTTATCCTTTCGGATTACGTAAGCGAAAATGGAAGGCAAGCATGATAACCGCTTCACCATTGGTGTGTGTTAGTTCTGTGGATGAATAAATTGAGGAGCGGGAAGGGAGGATCAGTCCAACAAGTTTGAGAATCGAATAACAAATGGCCGAGATATGGGGTTTACAAAATATGAGCGGGGTTTCGGTGTGGTTTCAAGGCATATATAAATGATGGCCTTCGGATGCGGGGACTCTGGATAATCGGGCCAGCAAGCAAATAAGCCTGGTTGACTGTCTAGGAAGTAACATCATAAACAGACCCGGGTTTACTACTCTAGTAGTATGATCATTGTATTTAATTAAGGATTGTGATGGATTCGAGATGAAGGAAATTCCACAGGCGAGACGAAGAGCAGCAAGTAGACAGCAAGAATTGAAAGAACCGGGTCATCGAGGTTACATGAAGATTGATACGAAATTTTGTGATCCAAAGTCCATGATCGCAAGTAGCCGCAAGTAATATAGCTACGGTTACGGTGAAGGACGCTGCAGCAGTGTCCTTCGCCGTAACGGAGAATAACCGCTTCACCTTCGTGAGGATGAAAACATTGGTGAATCAGTCCAACAAATTCGAGATTGAATAACAAATGGCCGAGATATGGATGGCTTTGACAAAATATTCCCATACTAGTTTTAAAGATCGTTTGTCGAGTCAGAAAATAGTTCTCCCGAAAACAGGGTCATATGTGGAAGCACTTCAAAGGCAGATCACTGCTAAATTTATTTAATTCATGATTGCGGCGCCAGCGATGCTTTTCTAGACGGGCCGAATTTGAGTAGCGAGACGAAACACAAGTAAACGAGCAAGAGCCGTGGGCGTCGAGGGAGAATTGGACGATTGGATAACCACTTCACCGTTGGTGTGTATTCCGACTTGCGAAATATATGGACGATCGAATAACCGCTTCACCATTGGTGTATTCCCACTTGCGAAATATATGGACGATCAGATAACCGCTTTACCATTGATGTGTGTTCCCACTTGCAGGTGAGGTGTCCATGTAGGTTTTCGCTTTTATTAGTTACGACTCGGACCCCCAAGCCTCCGTTCACAATACACCGATCGTGGGTTCCCAGAAAGTATAGACAACCTGTGTAGCAGACGATAACCGCTTCACCATTGGTGTCGGGAAAACAAGTCAAGGCAGAACACTTGAAGAGATAGGACAGGCAGCCATGAAGAGACGAAGAATAGTAACAGTGACGTCCGACAAAGAGGTCGTCGAGGGTAGATTGAGCCGAAACCCCTAATGCGAAAACTGAATCATTTACTTGCAAAATACAAAACGAAAACCGGTCGACTCTCAGATCTCAGCCCTCTTCATCCTCAAAATCTGACCCCCTCCCCAAGACTGGTGGGACCCCGCCGCCAAAGAGCGGCTGGAAAACGCCGTCGAACTCTGGATCCCCGTCCTGTTCATCGACCTCCATGTCGGCCACCCCCGGATTTGGAATCTCCGGCGGCTCCATCCCTACGCCCAGGAAATCCAAGCACCCCCACTGGCATCCTCGCCATTTCAGCGGGACGCTGCCGCCAACAGGGACGCCCGCGACTACCGTCTCCCACGTGTATCGCTCTTCCGCTGCCGCCACGAACATCGAGACTCTGTCGTGTCGGGGAGAAGGGCACGACCCGAAACTCGGCTCATCGTCTACTGGTTCTGATGCCTTGTCGCTGCACACACTGCCGGGATGAACCGCGTGGAGGACGCGGCGCAGATGTGGTGGAATGACCGTGCCGGAATCACGGTCGAGAGGCAGCTCATAGTATTGAGCCAGCCGGCGCTTGTGGTTCTGGGCGCATGGCACCCCAGATTCCGCCAAGAACATGGAGCGGAATGCGAGTTCCACAAGGGGAGGGACGCGTGCTGAACTTCGGGACGGGGGGGAAATCGCGACTCGCCCTTGAGCGGACTTTGCGTGCCGGAGCTGGTGTTTTGCAGATAGGTGCTCTTCCGGGTCCAGGAAGGGGTTTGGGAAGACGTGAAGGGCCTGCAAGATCATATCGGCAAGTTCAGCCGGTAGATATCTCAGCTGGTTTCCGGAAACGTTGAGGGTGTGGAGAGCTCGCAGGTTCCGGACTTCAGGTGGTATTGCTTTGAGTTTGTTGTTCCCTGCGGAATCATAATTAAATGAGTGCGCGGTATTCTAAATGACACATACGCAAACTCAGGACCGTTAATCTTTCGACAAACAACAGCTGCACAGGTAACCGCGAAATTTGGTTCCGGGCCAAATAAAGCTGGATGTCGTTTGCTGTACGCTCGTTCACGCGAGAGAGCAGGGAACCAGGCCCCAAGATGGCGGGAGCCGTGAAAGAACGACCGAATTGCCGGGGTAACGGCAGTGGTGGAGGACCAAGAGGGACAACTACTCTTGCATTCAACCGTGCGGCGTTGTCTTCCAACACGCAGAACTTGCCCAGATCCAACACGGATGCATGTGGGATAGTAGATAGATTGCAATTCCTTTATTCAATCAATTATGACGAAAGGGCAATAACTGATCGACTCACTCGAGGTCTATGGCCCCATTCCCGGTGTCCACCATCTTCGAAATGGCGGTATCCCAGATGACGGTCTCCTTCTCCTCGGCGGTGAGGGATATGGAGGTACGAGGGGAGGATGCGACGACCGTCTCCAAGGATGCCTCGGGCCCGAGTAAGCGCGGTTTTTTGACGCGAATCCGTGTAGGAGAGGACGGCGACATGCGCCGATTCTTCTTCCCGCCCTTCTCATACTCGGGAGGATTCCATGAGCCCTTGGCAGATGCAGCAAACGGATCAAGAGGAGGCGACCCGTGGGGCGGCGACTCGCGAAATATATCCGACTCATCTGGGAACGAGACCGAGTCGTCGGGGCCCGGGGACGACGCAGGGGACGAGTCGATGTACGCGGTGGGCGACGAGGGCGGGGAGGAGGATGGCGCGCCGGACCAGCGCGTGTCTTCTACGTCGAACATACCGAAAGGTCGCTGCGCACACGAGCAGTTGTTAGCCGCAGATGAAGCACTGGTGTCGCGGTCACGCGATCACTTGATTGACGGGCGGACTCCCACGGTTCACTCTCGCCAACATCGTTACTTCTGGGCCCGAGCAACACTCTTAATTTTCAAGTACGGCAGGAACTTGAAGCACCTTGTCCGCTATTTCTCTTTCTGTTTCTACGTGCCGCTAAGCTGTTCAGATCCCACTCTGTCCGTTCAATCATGTTCGTAAAACCCAATGGAACATACAAATGACGCGTATAGATAGTATACAAGTCTCAGTCGCACTCAACGGTAACACTCTTTACAGTGGCCGTGATCTTGTCCGGTGCGCCCGTCCAATTAACCGGGCCCCTTCCCCACTCCGCCGTTCCCGCGGGACTGCTGGCATCCCAGATCCCCAGTTGTACACGCATGGTATGGGTAGGATAATGCAAGAAGCCGTTTCTCGTGCATTCATCTTCCAATCTCGTTAGCCGGAAATTTACACCCGAATGGCTGCCCAGCGACTCACTTTTGGCGAGCGTTTTGACGATCATGTTGTCGATACTCCAAGTAATCTTTTCTCCGTTGATGTCAATGCTGTAGGAGTGAAGCTTCGTGACGCTATCGACCTTCTGTTTCGAGCTAAAAACACCATATTCCGGACGCGAGTCTCGCGGATCCGCGACGAAAAGATTGGTTTGCCAGCTGTCAGGCTCTCCGCACACGAATTCGATATCTATCTCGTCAAGCGATGTATCGCCTAGAGGAACATGTTCAGTTACAGGACCAGAGACCCTCCAGCTGCACGCGCACCGATCAGGATCCCAGCAACAATCACACCAGAGACAGTCGGAGAAGATACTTGGAACGTGACTTTTCCAGCGCTGTAAAGAGCCTTTCAATTATACTCGATGAATTAGCAGAATGAAAAGCGCGCACGATAGAGTGAAAGTCGAATTTATCGTCGCCCCGTCTCCGATCTTGTCGTTCACGCCCGCCGAGGTGGTAACGCGTCCATTTGGCTTGTATAGATTCATCTCGAGTCCTTTATCCGTCAGGGCATACGATCCTTCGGGACTGATGGCCGTAAAGTGAGAGTTGAAACTAGGCGAGGCAGACTGGTCGAAGACGATGTGTAGTGGTTGGCACTGTGCGGTGCGAGGGTTATGTTCCGATGCCTTGCAGAAATTGACCCAGAGAATGAACGTAAAGGCGAGGAGGGTATAGATGTGCATGGAGGACACGGAGATGCGAGTCACGGGAGTGAAAGAGATGAACCTACATCATGTGACGATGAACCAAACACGGCGGTCAAAGCGATCTTTCGCAACCTTTTAGGGGAATTCATCAGTGAGATCGGAGAGCGTTTCGAGGATTTACCAGCGCGTTTGAACTGTTGTCCAAGGGCAATATGAATACAATTGGATTATAATATCAGATTAATACATCGGTCTACGAAACCTCCTCCATATCGTCATCCTCGTCCTCATCGTCGACGCCTTCCATCTTGACGTCAGGGTCGGTGCCAAAGCTGATGAGCTCGCCGACGCCAGACATGCCCGCGACGCTGCCGCGCGCCTGCCGAGGTGTAAGGTCAGACACATAGCAGTGATCACGAAAAGACAACGCACCCCCTCGTCCTTGAACGTGTCCTTGAGCTCCCAAAGCGAGGCAAACTCGCCGGTCTTGTTGAGGAACGCGACTTCGGACAGGACCTCCTTGAGGTAGACCTCGGGCTGCTGTGTGCGCTCGCGCAGTGGCTTGATGCCCCAGCGCGGGGTGTCGCGGAAGAGCTGGAAGATGAGGTCGAGAAGCTGGTTCCGTGGGATACGGGCCATGCGCTCGAATTGGCCCTTTGCGGCCTTGGGTTTGGTTTTCTAGGGGTGAATAATGTTAAATGCGGGGTCTGTCGCATTAAACAGACCACGTACGACCAGCTCCGTGAAGGCGCCGCCTGCGCCGACGCCAACGCCGCTCGTGAGACGGTTGACACCCCCGCGTCCGCCGGCGATGCCCGCATCTTCGATCCGCTTTATTTGGCGGGTGGGGGTGTTGT